AAAAGGCTCAAGGGTCCTTTTTTATGAAAGGTGACAGAATCTACAATAACAAAAATTCCCACAATATTCTCTCATAACAGTCGCCCCACGTGTGCATCAGAACACACTAAAAAATAAGACTAAATTATCAAAAGAGTCATGCTCTAACTATCTGGTATAACATGTCCTAGAACATGTACCAATATCATGTAGAACATGATGTCTGACTGACATGGCAGAACATCTGGTTCAACACCTTGCTAACAACATGCTATTTTACCAAAATGTAGTCAATCCAAAAACCACATGACTTGCACTCTCTTTTTAAAGCTTAGTATACACTTAATTTTTTTTTGTTTTGAGAGAGCAAAATTCCTAATAAGAGTTATACTTGTGTAAATTTTATTTATATTTGGATGAGTTGTAATTGTAAATTAAGTGCGTTATTTTTTTATAACTCTGAGATAATTATAAAGGTTGCATCATAAACTTGGATAAAATTTTGGTGTAAGAAAGTTGCAGATTGATAAAATCTTAAGTTTTTAGGAAAACCCTCAAGGAGAAATTCTTGAAAACTGAAGTAGGTCTCATGGTTTAAAGGTTTAACTAGTAAAAAATTTTGTGAATTATTTATATTTATGTTATTTACTATTCTATGCCCCTAAATCTCTGCTTCATTTCCTTTCTTAGAACTGACCCTTTTTATTAAGTAAAATCAATCTTTATATTTATAGTTTTTAAAACCTTTTTTATTATAATTTATTCTCTTTTGTGTTTGAAATCACTTGATTATCAAGCCCAAAAAAACTTATTTCTTCATTACTTGAAAGGACTTTCTCTCTCTCTCTCTCTCTCTCTCTCTCTTTTTTTAATTCTGTAATAAATATAGGAAAAACACATGTGAATCCGATCATATTTCAAAGTATTTGATCCATAAAAAATTTATTACTTTTTATGGATAGTATCTTTATAGTCAAAGTAATTGCAAGTATGTAATAAAAATAATAAATCAAGTATAATTATATTTTGTCTTAATTTTTAAAAATATATATAAATTATTAATAATGTAGAAAATAAAGCATGGAAGAAGAAAGAGATTATAATTTCAATAAGGTAAATAACATAATCTATAAAAATAAAAATATAATAAAATATAAATAGACTTAGTTTTCCTTTATCTAATTATATTAATGATATGATATTTAATATATCCCTTCAAATTCAACATATATTATCATGAAAATTAAAAGTATGTCAAACAAAAAAATCAAATCAAAACTATTGTAACCAATAAAAAAGAAAACAATAATAAAAAAAATAAACAATCATAAAAAGGAGTAACAATTGAAGAGAATAATCAATAGAAAAATGACAAACATCTATAGAAAGAAAATAAATCATGCATAAAAGGAAACAAAAGAACCAAGAAAAAAATACAACAATTAAAAAGAAGTAGTGAAACAAAATAACATCAATCAAATAGAAGAATACATAGAAATAATTAATCAAAAAGAACCAATTAAAAGGAGGAATAATCAAAACAAAAGAACAATAAAAAGATGAATAACATTGGTAAAAAGGATGATCATTCAATAGAAGAATCAAATCAAAACAAAATCAAATCAACTAAAAAAAATTCAAACGAAATTGAACCAAATTAACCAAATTAAACTAATTGACAAAAAAATCGATCCAAACCAAATCAAAATCTAATTGACAACTAAATCAAACCAAATGAAACTAATTGACAACTAAATCAAACCAAACAAAATTACAAAGAAAGTTGCAACCATAGAGTACACATGAATACTAGATCGAACAATGAAAGAGTCCAGTCTCAATTAGAGATGACAATTGACAAAATTCATCCAATTCATCCACCGCATAAAAAATAAGTTAATAAATTGGATTAAATATATCTATTTATATGCATGAATAGATTCAATCCATCCAACATATTTTAAGGATCTAATGAATTATTTTTATTTTTTTTATATTTATTTTTTTAAAATAATTAAAAATAGATTTTTTAAAAGAAAAGAATTGATTTTTTTTCAATAAAAAATCGAAATTTTTTCAAAAATAAAATCGAATTTTTTTCGAAAAAATTAATTTGTTTTTTTTTTTTAAAATAAAAAACTGATTAGTTTTTCGAAAAAAAAAAGTCGATTTTTTTTTCCGAAAAATAATCAATTTTTTCTGAAAAAAATCAAAAATTAAAATATCAATATTTTTCTTGAAAATACAAAAAATGATTTTTTTTTAAACAAAAAGTTCAATTTTTTCATGAATATATTAAAAACAATTTTTTAAATAAAAAAATGAAATTTTCGAAAATAAAATAAAAAAATATGTTTATTTTTTCGAAATAAAAAAAAAAAGTTGGATAGTATATCTATCCATTAAAAATATGTTAATGGATGGATTTGATGAATTTTATTCTTAATGGATGGATTGGATTGAATAATTTTTAAAAAAAAAATAGTGGATTGTTAATGGACTAATAAATTGTTTTAATCCAATTCATATCCATCTAATCCATCTATTTTGTCACCCTTAGTCTCAATTAATATTCAATCATATAAATTAGAAGACACCAAGTTGAAAACAATTCAACGATTCACCCAAATGATAATTTTTCTTGGATAAAACAAATTATCAAAATCAAAACAAAAATATTTCCAAACTTTTGAGAACACAATAGTAGAAATAACGAGTAATTCAAAGATAATAAAAAAAAACTTTAAGTATTATGTTAAAATTAGAGATAATAAAGTAAAAAAGAAAAATAATATTAAAATTTTAATAATGTGAATAATATAAGTTTAAAAAAATAAATATTATAAAATAATATAACAAAATATAAATAAACCAAACTATCATTGCTTTGATTATAACAAAAAGCTAATTAGATATTATTAAACTTAAACCATTATTTTGTTAATACGTATACACATTTCTCTCTTCTATTTTTCATAAAAATCTTGATTATCCATAACAATGACTAAGACATTCATTTTTGTTTTATTCCTTTGGTCTCTTAAATAAGAATCAAGTTACCAAAACTTTAGGCCACATCCAACTTTTGATTTTGATATTTGCCAACCAAACCCAAAATCTAGTTATCAAAACAAACTAAAACACAATATATATACTACTAGCAAATAGCAATATCCTTATCCTCACAAAGTTCAAGAGAAATAGAATCCAACAAGAGAATCACAAATCCTTTGATATTGGCATCAAAAACAAGAGAATTCAATTTTTTTCACCCCAAAAGCAACCTTTGATATTGGCATCAAAATCATGGGTTACCCCAAAACCCCAACAGAACCAAAAACCATGACCACAAAAGGCCTCAAAATATGCTTGTTGGTGTCCATAATTTTCTTCATCATTGTTGCCACTGTCATATTGGCATTAGTTTTCACAATCTTCAAACCCAAGAACCCATATGTAAGTATCTACCCACTAGGACTCAAAGACCTTGAATTTTTCCAACCAAACTCAACAATTGTACCTTTAAACATGTTAATCACAATAGTGAACCCAAACTATGGAAGCTTCAAGAGCAAAAATGCCACTGGTTACCTTAACTATCACGACACATTAATAGCCAATGTTCCTTTAGAACCAAAGCTTCTCCCAGCTTGTAGGACAACTAATGTGACCACTACCGCCGGTCTCATGAGCGGAAAATTGGTTTCTGATGAAACCTTTTTAGAAGATATTGAAGATGGTTCTTTCAATTTGACAGCAAAGGCAACACTTCATGGAAAGGTTCATTTGATCAAGGTTTTCAAGATGAAGGCTACCGTTAATATCTTCTGCGATATCTTCTTTAACATAAGTTCCTTAGATACACATTCAAGTTGCGTAACCAGAATCAAGGTGTGATTATTGTTTTTAGTATTTATCATTGTAGTTTTAGTTCATACATGTTTGTTTAAGAAAATAAAATAAATAAATAAGTGGGAAAATATCATATCATACCCACCCTTGTATCTAGAATACATTAAATATGTTAATTTTATTTTAAAAGGTGTTGATTTTTAAATACCATAAATGAAATGAGATGTACTACAGAAACCTTTCAGAAGGTCATTCATCCTAATATACAAAATATGTCACTTGTATAAGTAACTTATTTTAACACGTTACGATCTGTTAATCACGATACGAGACGAGTTAAGAGGTTAGGAGTTAGTTCTTAAGAAGTGGCCCAGTCTTGTCCTCCCACTTATTGAGCCTCTTATTTGATTCTACAACCTACAATCACATGATATATTCATTATATATATTGAGAAATTCATTGGTAAGAGGTAGTGTTTGTTTGAGTAATTTTAACCTCTTTATTCCAATTGGTTCGAAATGTGACGTATAATAAAATGATTGTTTGCAAAACTGTGCCAACTAGCATTCCCAACCATATTCCCTATACAGAAAAAAGGAAATTGAATAAGCAATAAATAAGAGCTAAAAGGGAAGAAACAAGAAAAGGATTTGGTTAGGAAATAGAAAATGATACCTTAGCACCGAATTTGAAATAAAACCCAAGAACCAAACCCAACGGTATGCCAATTCCATAATAACAATCTACGTTTACATACCCAACAAATGTTTGCCATCCACATCCAATAGCCCACACCTTTCATGCATATATATATATAATATGTAATTTAGTATTTTATTCTTTCTAAACACATGCTTTACCTTACAAAAATAAAAATATTTTTTAAGTGGAGTTGCTTGAATTACAAGAAACAAAGTTTCCTTTTTTTTCCTTATGCCAACATTAGCAAATTATTCCAGCAAATTGATATAACATAGCCTGTTTTGATTCAAACATTAGTCCTTGATCAAGATCAATGACCAACTCGAATACAATTTTAAATAAATTCTTTGCGTGTGTGCTAGTATTCAAAGGTTAAAATTATGATTTATAAAGTGAACAAATAAAGGTGATCTTCAGGTGATCTTCTGCTTTTGACTTTGAACTGAAGATACAAAGATAGATAATCTCAAACATCAAACATGGACTGGAATATAATATTGCACAGTAAGAAAGCTAAACCATAGTCTGAGAGACGGGGATTCAAATCTGTGTCAAGCAAAATATTGGCAGATTTGATATTCTTGTGAACTAGAGAGGGAGAACAACTTTCATGTAGGTACCTGAAAGTAACGACATATATGCAAAATTGAAATGAGTCTAACATCATATAATATTGAACTCGACTTGGGAAACAATGACTTAAGAAATTCAAAAATTTGTTGAGTGTTTGAATTGGTATAAATATTTTTCTATATCATTCTTAACGTTCAATTTTATGCATATCTATTCAGAAATTTAAAAACTTGATTTTATTAAGCAAAAAGAGGCATAGTAACAATTTTATTGCAAAATACCCTAAAGAGAAATGTAGCATTATTTAGGAAGAATGCTGCATGTAACACTGCTTTAAGCGGACCGCTGTTGTGGTACTTACATTAACAAAATAGATGTGTATTCACATGCAGGAATAGGTTATGCATAATGTCATAAGAGTTATCTCAAAATTAAAGTTATATTTGCTAGATGTAGAAAACTAACTCAACAGCCCGAGCAGTTCCCAATGCAATTCTGATTCTGGTGTTCCAAGTTAATGGTTTGCTGAAGTCATCTGATAAGTGTAAAAAGTCATGGAGAGAACCATTTCTGAAATAATCATATACTAATATATGCTCCTGTTCTGAACAATAACCAACAAGCTCAGCAATATTTGGATGACGAAGTTTGCTGATGCTTGATAAAATCTGAGAGAATTCCTCGGGATGACCCCCATCAAAAAATGAAGGGTTGATTTTTTTTACTGCCAATACCTAATTTGAAAGAAGAAAAAAAAGTGTAAGGTTTAGGTTTGCCTCAGTTCAGTATTATGACATTTAGTTTTTTAATTTAATCGCAGCCAATATTGTTCCAAATCCATGCCTGACCCAATAAGAGTTAAATTTTAGTTTAGCTACTTGCGGCTGCAAGTCAGACATGAACATGGGTGTCAAATTTGCTGTTGCATTTTCACTGGAAACACATTTTGCTCATCGGTGATGCTTAGCCAATCATATGAATATGTCATGCACATGCATAAACTAACAGTAGTGTATCCATGACTAGTTTATATAACAGAAAGTACCTTTCCATCGGCATATTTGGCACGATAAACAGGTCCAAGGTTTCCTTCACCAAGAAGTCGACCGGAAGCAAAGTTAGCAGTACCAATTTGCAACTCTCCCAATGAAAAAGGAGTACAACGAACTGATGTGCTTCTTTTAGAATTTAGACGATTTGCAAACTCATTGTCAGTAAAAGTTTGCACACAATCAGAGACTGATGACCTAACAGTTGATGGACATTTTTGTAATGCATTTATGTCGATTGTAGTGGAATCCATTTCTTTGAATCCTGTCACCAATATAACATCTGAATTCAGTTATATGATAATATCAACTCCATATTGGTCATTGTCAAAATGTGCCAAAGATAATAACATAAGACTACTCTAGTAGATAGTCCTCGTGATGTTCAAATTGTATATTTCTAGAACCATGTTATTAATAATAGCTTCTCCTTTAGCCAACCAAATACGAAAATGAGCACGGCGAAATACATATCATGATATTAAATCGTTGCGAAAAGTATGGTTAGACTTACAATTGTTTGAGTTTAGTGAGGCTTGAAAACATATCTCCCAGCTGGTTATTGCCAACAAAATCACAGAGAAGTGGATTAACTAAATCCTGCTGTGCCTGAGGCATAAGTAGCTGCTGTGGTGAAAATTGATTGGAAAATTGTGAAGACAACATCAAATTATCCTCCTGGAGAAGTTCTAAGTGAAAGTTGCCGCTTTGAGAGAATGATTCTCGACATTCCCACTATTGACACCCTGCAACAATATCAAAGGTAACAGTACCAAGTTATTACGCGTCGTCGTCATAAATAGCAGGAACTGGCCTAAACGGAAACTACGCAGGAGCTCAATAGAAAAGAAGAGTCTCAAGACCATCTCGTTGCCGTCACCTGGCGAAGAACCAACATCAAGAAAACCTGTCCAAAACAAGTCAAGGCCTAATGTTAACAATCTGTTGACACAAGAACAACAATTAAACCGTGTATAAGAAACAGAACCTAATGTACGCAAGCGAACGCTTCTTCGTCACGCTGCGACCATACCAGGAGATGTATCCTCCAAAGAAGCCCCAAGGTCATGCATCAGGCCCTAAACTTCCTGTTATAGCAGCAAACAAGGGTCATGCTGCATGTGTACATTAAAACTATTTCGACAAAACTTTTAAAACTCAATTTTATAATTTGAAAAAAATTTGATCTCTGTCAAAAACTTAAAACCAAATAAATATGCACCAATATCATATCACCAATAAAGTGAGGTAGGGTACATTGGTGAAACATATGCGTGTGTACATTAAAAGTCATTTTTCAGTTGAATGTGCAGAGCCACAAAACCATTCATATAGAATACTATATACGGTGCATATTAATCAGTGAAATGATTCATGGATGAGTAAAGAATACCTTGTCCTTTCCACTTTTTAAAGTCCTTTCTGAGTATATCCCCTACTTGCATAGAGGATAGACCATGCATTCCGTACCTCACTGAAAATAAAATAATCACAGCATGTAAATAAATAAATAAACCAAGTAATTTCAAATATCATACTAATGGAATTTCACATGTACTATAATAGTAAAATGGTGTAGGACATACATAGTTGATAGAGACCATTGCATCCATAACGACCAGCACCATTGATCAATAATATTATAGGACATACATAAACAGCATGTTCCAAACGGGTTTACCTTCATCAATTGATAGTTTCGACACATTTATCAACTCCCTTTTATCAGCCATGCACCCGTAATCAATCTGCCAACAGCTTTCTCTGACATATTGATGATGCGCTGAAACAAAAGTGGAAGGAGCTTTCTTGAAATACAAGAGACTAAGAGACATTTGAATAAACTGTGTGTTTTGAAAAGCACTACGGAGACATTATTATATATAAATAGATTACACCTAATTACATAATATAGTCGATGTGGGACTATTCTATATACAAATAGTCTTAACACTTTATATATATATTTACAAATATCAACACTCCCCCTCAAGCTTGAGCATATAAGTCAAATGCACCAAGCTTGTTACATATATAGTTAGTTCTGGGGCTTCGTAGGGATTTTGTAAACACATCTGCCAATTGATCATTAGAGTTGACAAAGCTTGTGACGATGTCGCCTGACTAGATCTTCTCTCTGACAAAGTGACAGTCTATCTCAATATGTTTGGTCCTCTCATGAAAGACTGGATTTGAAGCAATGTGCAATGCAGCTTGATTATCACAAATAAGTGTCATTGGTCTTGCTTCTTCAATTTGAAGTTCCTTGAGCAACTGTTTTAACCAAATAAGTTCACATGTTGCCATTGCCATCGCCCTATACTCTGCCTCGGCGCTTGATCTTGCAACTACATTTTGTTTCTTACTTTTCCAGGATATAAGGTTTCCTCCAACAAGTACACAATACCCAGAGGTGGATCGTCTATCAATGGGTGACCCTGCCCAATCAGCATCAGAGTATCCAATTATCTGGGTATGTCTTTTATCCTCATACACAAGACCTTTTCCTGGAGCACATTTGATGTATCTCAAAATCCGGATAACAGCATCCATATGTTCCTGACAAGGGGAATTTAAAAACTGGCTTACCACACTGACTGCAAAAGAAATGTCCGAACGAGTGACTGTGAGATAATTCAACTTTCCAACCAATCTCCTATACCTTCCTGAGTCAGATAGAGGCTCCCCCTGATTGGGTAGTAATTTAACACTTGGATCCATAGGAGTATCGGCTGGTTTAGCATTTAACAAACCTGTTTCTTCCAAAATATCCATAGCATATTTCCGCTGAGAAATCACCAAACCATCTTTAGATTGGGCTACTTCAATACCCAAGAAATAACGGAGTTTACCAAGATCTTTTGTCTGAAATTGTTTCGAGAGATGTTGTTTCAACTGGAGTATTCCCTGCTGATCACTACCAGTTATGACAATGTCATCTACATACACAATAAGATAAATACACCCTTGGGGTGAGTGACGATAAAAAACAGAATGGTCAGCTTCACTACGGATCATACCAAACTGTTGTACTACAGTGCTGAATCTGCCAAACCAAGCTCTCGGAGATTGCTTAAGACCATAAAGAGACCTGTGTAGCCTACAAACCATATTCGATGACTCCCCCTGAGCAACAAACCCAGGTGGTTGCTCCATATATACTTCCTCTTCAAGATCGCCATGTAAGAATGCATTTTTGATGTCAAGTTGATGAAGAGACCAATGTCGAATGGCTGCAATGGCTAGAAGAAGTCTAACAGATGCCATCTTGGCTACAGGTGAAAAGGTATCACCATAATCCAACCCAAAAATTTGAGTGTATCCTTTGGCTACTAAGCAAGCTTTAAAGCGATCAATCTTGCCATCTGGACCAACCTTCACTGTATAAAGCCAACGACAACCTACTAAAGATTTTCCATGGGGTAGAGGAACCAGTTCCCAGGTACCACTGCTTTGAAGAGCACACATTTCATCAATCATTGCTTGCCTCCACTCAGGGTGAGATAATGCTTCACCTGGAGTTTTAGGAATAGAAACAGAAGACAAAGAAGACAAACAAGTATACTGCAAAGGGGAAAGACGATGATAACATAAATCAATATAATGTGGAGAAGGATTTCGTGTTTGACGTATACCTTTTCGAAGGGCAATCGGAAGATCAGACTCAGGTTGCAGGATCGAATCCGGTGATGGCGAGAGCGTCGGAGGAGAGTCCGTAGTGACCTCAGGGACAGGTACAACTTCAGGGACAGGTACGACTACAGGGACAGGTACAACTTCAGGGACAGGTACGACAGACTTTGGGTGACGACGCTGATATGTTTGAAGTGGGCGAGTGGGGGGGTCAACCGTAGGGGTAACTAGTGGGTCAGGTTCCCTAGAATGATGGGGGATAATGACAGATGGGACTTCCGGAAGAGGTGTGGGAATACTTTCCCGTAGAGGTTCTGTAGTTACTTGGCTGGATTCGAAATATGGAACAGACTCGAAGAAGGTAACATCGGCGGATACGAGGTATCGTTGTAGAGTATGTGAGTAGCAACGATAACCTTTTTGGGATCGATGATAGCCAAGAAAGACACACTTTAGTGATCGAGCTGATAGTTTATCAAGACCAGGGGAGAGATTGTGTACAAAACACGTTGACCCGAAGACTCGAGGAGGAATTGGGTGGAGTGGAGAGTTTGGAAACAGGATTGAATGAGGGATTTTATTATTAAGGACAGATGAGGGCATGCGATTTATGAGGTAACATGCTGTGAGCACCGCATCTCCCCAAAACCGGAGAGGAACATTACCATGGAGAAGTAGTGTCCGAGTGGTTTCTACGAGGTGCCGATTTTTGCGTTCGGCTACCCCGTTTTGTTGGGGTGTATGAGGGCAAGATGTTTGGTGCAAAATACCATTGGATGACATAAATGTTTGAAATTGTTGGGATAAATATTCACGTGCATTGTCACTTCTTAGGGTACGAATAGATAAACCAAATTGGGTTCTTATTTCTCGATAAAATTGTTCAAAAATAGAAAACAATTCAGACCTGTTCTTCATTAAAAATAACCATGTGCAACGTGAAAAATCATCAATAAAGGTTACAAAATACCTAGACTCAAAAGTAGACACGGTACGTGAGGGACCCCAAACATCGGAGTGGACTAAAGCAAAAGGGGACGCAGCCCGTTTATTGACTCGATCGGAAAAGTGACTACGAGTATGTTTTCCTAACTGACAAGACTCACAATGTAAAGTGGATAATTTAGATAAACTGGGCACCAACTTTTGTAGCTTGGGAAGACCTGGATGACCTAACTGCGCATGTATAATGAGTGGAGAATCTGTGGTGGAGCATGTGGTAGATGACGTAGAGAAGTAGTAGAGGCCTTGAGACTCACATCCGACGCCAATCGTCTGTCCCGAACTCCGATCCTGCAGAGTAACATTACTATTAGTAAAGGTGATAGAACAATTAAGGGAACGAGTTAAACGACTGACTGACAGTAAATTAAATGGGCAATTAGGTACATAAAGGACAGAAGTAACAGAGAGAGACGGTAAAATTTGAACAGTACCAATCCCTTGGGATCGGGTTTGAGAACCATTTGCTGCAGTTATAATAGGCAAGAAACCAGAGGTAGAGAGGGAGGAAAAAAGACCTTTATTACCAGTAACATGATCAGACGCACCAGAGTCAAGGACCCAAGGACCAAGAGGAGATGATTGAGAGAAGCAAACAGACGAATTACCAGTGTGTGCA